TAAAATAAAAAATATTTAAAATAAATTCCCTAACAGCCCCCTCACACCCACAGCACCCCCCAGACACACACAGCACGCCAGACACAGCACCCCCAGACACACACAGCACCGCCAGACACAGCACCCCCAGACACACACAGCACCGCCAGACACCTTTGCCAGACACACACGCTGTACCCCCCACGCAGCACCCCCAGACACCCACAGCACCCAGACACACAGCACCCCCAGACACACAGCACCCCCCCAGACACACCAGCACCCCCAGATTTTTACACAGCACAGCACCCCAGACACACACAGCACCCCAGACACACACACAGCACCCCCAGACACACACAGCACAGCGCACCCCACAGACACACACAGCACCCAGACACACACAGCACCCCCAGACACAGCACCCAGACACACACACAGCACCCCCAGACACACACACAGCACCCCCAGACACACAAACAACACCCTCAGATGCAGACAACACCCTCAGACAGACAGCACCCTCAGACAGACAGCACCCTCAGACAGACAGCACCCTCACTCCCACACATATACAGCACACACACACACATATATATATATATTATAAAATAACCCTCAGTGAGTTAACAGACAAAGAAAATTAGAAACCTAGAATGTGACAGCAGATTAAAAACACCCTCACACACAGCACCCCTCTTACACAAACATACTGCGCACCTCACACATTCAATACGTCCAAATATATTCTAAATATATATACACACACTCACTACTGCACCCCACCCACTGCACCACTACACACATTACACTCCAGATACACGCTAGATCCCTTACCCTATATGCACTCTTAATCCTCTACACATACACACACACACAATCTTCTATACACACTCTGGGTCCTTTACACACACGCTGCACCACCTACACACACACTACATTCCTTGTAAGCAAACACATACAACATTCTCTAAACAAACCCTCTCTACAACCCCTACACACACTACGTAACCTATACACACACACTACTGCCTGTATGTACACACTCGCTACATCCCCTATAACACTATGCCCCTATACACGCACTCTCTACAGCCCCTAGCCACACATATTACACCACAAAATTGACCTATTTACACAATACCACACCACACTCTACACACACAGGCAATCCCACAAGCATGCGCCAAACACATGCCCCATACACTTTCCTTGCCCTTTTATCCTCTGGTATCCCACTTGTGGAGACACCAGAGACAGTTTAAAAGCAAACAAAGCGCAATCATGTTATTACATTTGCTTGTGCTGCGCAGAACAAATACAGGGCCTTTTTCTAAAGCTAGAGCTCTTCAGCGGGGCTCTGCGCATTGAACCAACATGCTCACTTTCAGAAGGGGGCGTACTTGTCATTAGTGATGACAAAACACACCCTCTCTGGCCCCGCCCCCTTCTTGGGGGGCCGCTCTAATTGAAAAATGCCCGGGCCTAATTTTTTTCCCAGTCCGGCCCTGTATAGGTATATGCCATGGAGAACCATATGCTATAAGAGTAGTAGGTAACCTGAGCCATATGCAGAATTATAATGGCAGCAGTGGGACAGGTAAGCTAACCGATGTCCAAAGGTGGTGAGACCCAGCTGGTCCCGCCGTCAGCTACCTCATTGGGGCCTCTGCTCTGAGCCCAAGCGCGTATACAGTCTGGGTAAATCCACCCTATGGAGGCAACACTTTTTTTAGCCGGAGCTCGTGTTCACTTTCTTCCAGCAGTGCACAGATGGTAGCTTTGGCCACTGGAAGCCTGTGGCTGCTCACTGTAAAAAACAAAACAAAAAAAACTATTGGCCCCCACCCCTAAATCACGGGTGGGGGCCCTAAAGTAAAATAAGGGGGGGAGACCTAATGTCCCCCCCCACCCCTGGGCGGTGGGTGGGGGCCATAATGATAATGGGGGGGGACCTACTGCCCCCCCCAGCCCCCACCCCTGGGCGGCGGGTGGGGGCCATAATGATAATGAGGGGGGGACCTACTGTCCTTCCCCCCTGGCCCACAGGCTGCTCACTGTTTAGTAGACATGCCCCTACTCACGGTATAGAGAGTAGGGGTATTGGGGAGATTTTAATCTTCCTTATGCTATTATGAGGGTCATATTGACCCCCATAGAGTGAGAGGGGGCCTGGGGGGCTTATGAAGTGGTGGGGAGCACTGCTCCATGCCGCTTCTATAGTTACATATTACAAGGAGGGAGCTGCGTGCCGGTAGCTCCCTCCTTGTAATAAACTGCACAAACAAACACACACTGATACTCAGATACTCAGTGTTTGTTTGTTCGGCTGATATTTCTATTCATTCGTCTGTCTGATGAATGAATGAATAGATGAAATTCCCGTTCGCATGTCCACTGGGCATGTGCGGGAATCTCACAGGCTATCTAGTGTGGGCAGATGACGTGTCCCACAGGGACTTCATCTACCTACACAAAGATGGCGGCGCCCTGAATCAAGATCGGGGCAGAAAATAAGGAATAAAAAATAGGTAATGTGGGGGGCTTAGGGGCATTTGGGGGTGACTAGGGGGTCAATTAGATGTATTGGAGGCCGGTGGGGGGTTAAAAAAAAAAACCAGGATTCGGCATGACAGTGCCGCTTTAAGTATTGGTTCCATTTTGCTACAAGTCAAAACTGAGGATCTGCCCCCTCCCCATCCTCGGGTGCAGCTGCAGGCTGCAGGCAGGGTTTAACCCCTTAAGGACACATGACATGTGTGACATGTCATGATTCCTTTTTATTCCAGAAGTTTGGTCCTTAAGGGGTTAAACAAACTTTTTTAGCCAAAAAGTGAACAATAAAGGCCACCTGTAGGCTCAGTAAGTGGGTTTCCCTAAGGAGCTCTAGCACCATGCGCCCGACTCAGTTGGCTGTCAGGCCCCGCCCCCAAATGGTCAACATTTTGACAATTAATGAAATAAAAATTACAACAAATCCATGCAGGGGTTATTTTATACTTGACAAACATTGTTACTCCTGAATAAGTATGTACATGGTGCAGATGATTATAGCCATATAACTTGTTAAAAGTTCTTAGAAGCAAGAAATCAGTGGTGGAACTAATGTACAGGGGCCCTAGTGCAAGAAAAAAAAATGTTTTGCCCCCCCATCCACCAAAAAGGTAGGAGGACAAAAGGTACATCTGTCATGATGCGTTGCCACCTGGGGATCTACCATTTTCCCATCCTTAAAGTGTTTTATTTGTGGGCAGTGGTTTGAAGGTAAGCATGTTTTTGTATGAAGTGTGTGTGTGTGTGAACATGGGGGTCTATATGTGTGTAATATTGACATTTGAATGCAGTTGTTTGTTTGTATGTACTGTTGCCACTTGAAAGCAGTGGCATGCTTATGTGTATTGTGTTTGAATGCAGGTATGTGTTTGTATGTAGTTGTAGTGGAATTCCCTGTACCCCGGCTGGGTACTTCCACCAAGGACCGCTTCCTAGCTGGAACAGGGGAAAACCTCAGCGCTTCTGCCCCAGTCGCCATGGCTTGACTGGGGTCCTCCTGGAGCCTCTCTGTACTGGAGCAGGATAGGGGACTTGCTCTATTTCCTCACAAGGACTGGATGACACACAGTCCTGGGAGCTCTAAGCCTTACAAGGACTTTACAAATCCTTCATGAGTTAGAACAAGGTGCTGAGCAGTGATTATAGCCCTTCCCCTCCAAGTAACTAGACGACACATAGTTCTGGGAGTACAACTGATTTTAATGAGCCTTTTATGCACAGACACCAGCAGCGGGTCTCCATTGTATTCACTCCGAGGAATCTCTGGGCCTGGAAGATAATTGCGTTAAAGACTGGTAAGCTAATTATCTCCCAGGAACAGAGAGCCAAACACAAAAATAGAAAAACATAAAAGTACCCCAAAACATAACAAAAACATAAAATAACCCCACAAATAATACATCGCCAAATAGCCCTGATCTGAGCGGCCAAGTTCTCCAAATAGCACTCAGATCCATGCAGTGTAGGGGAAACGCCACACTGTTATACGGAGTGCTCTGCCTGGCTCTTAGGTAGCATTTGTTCCCCTTCGTCTCAGGCACAAGCGCTCTTGTAGAATATTGCATATTCTATGTTTCTATTGATTATATATATGGATGTGTGGATTGACATAAGTAACAGATGGTATCAATAAGTCACAAGGCTTTCTTTGTCCGAGAGCTCTGGAATGTGGATTCGGGGGTCTTGTCCTTATATGGCTAGAGGTAAACGCTGACATTAGTATGAACACTTCTGTGGCGGAACCCGCCTCGCCACTGGACATTGGAGAGGCCTGGCTGCCCGCCTCCTACCTGCTGACTATGGCCCCTGGTAAATTTGTACGTTGAATGCAATAATTGGGCATGTGATATTTTATATTGCTGCTACTGGCCCTTTAAGGGCCATCCGGGGACATTATGACTTTTAGGAACAATACCCCTTTAAGACTTGGTAGCAGATTACAGTAAGGATGTCTTTTATATTATGTATGTTCCTGTGTGTTCGGCTAAATTGTATATGTGTATGCAGAATTCGTCTGATTGTTCGGTAGAATTACTCCATTCATTATATTGAGTGAAACTACCGAACAGCCAGACCACCCGGGAATAAGTGTGCCTCCAATTACCGTTTGCAACATTGTTGCAAACGGGTAATTGGCAATCTGTGTAATATGTTCTTTGTCCTCTGGGCGGCCGCCATTCGGGAAACGAACACATGGCGGCGGCCATCTTAATCTCCCGAACAGCGGTGTTTTGCCGTCGAGTGTCTGGAACTAAAATCGGACACTCGACTAGGCAAGCACCGCTGAGACCTCCAGACTTCCAGCCATTCATGCAGAAACTACCGAACGAAAGGATCACACGAACAAGGGGATTCATACGAATCCTCCCCAAGCTCTATAACCCAGGCCGTTCGTGTGTTTTGTTCACTTTTCTGTGACCGACCGCAGGGCCAAAATACATGGAACTATTTTCGGATACTTTTGCCATGCGGTAGGTCAAAACTTTAAAGTCCCATAACTCCCGAACCCTTTATCCGAATGGGCTGATTTTCACATATGTTGTTCCTCCAGACTAGGGCTATCTGGAGATACTGGATTTGTGGATGTACCCCAAGTATTTGGGGTACATCCAAAACTCGGGGAAAACTATGTACATGTTAATTATGTTAACTGGTTATCTGAGGGGAGGGAATCTGTGGGTTGTAACCATTATGCTATTGGTATACTGTAAATCCCTCCCTTGCATGGGAGAATCCTTTATAAGCCTGTTGTGTGAATAAATCAGGAGTTCCTGTTTAACCCTCAAAGTGAAGTGTCGTCTCATTATTGGGGGAAGGATTTATTGTATGCTGTTCCAGTTTGACTGCTAGGAGAGTAAACCTATGCGTATGGTTCCTATTCAGCTGTCTACAGCATTATATGCTTGAGAGCATTCATATGCTCCTACGGTTTGGTGGTTTTGGTGTCTGCTGCAGTGCTTGGAGTCCTCAGGAAGTGCTAGGAGCATCCTTCAACGGAGGTACCCAGTCGGGGTGCCAGGTGATCCGTTACAACTTCTATATAGTAACAGAGGGACACGAGGTCACTCTGTCTTGGCTCGGTCTTGGCTCTGTACAACGATGTAACTCTCCCATCAGAAGTACAGCAATTACCATCTGCTGTTGAATGTCCATTATCCTGTAACATCCTTTATTATGTTGTTTTATGTATCCGTAACTAAGAATAAACCTGAAGAAACCGTAAGTCAGATTGCGTATTACTACTTTTCAATAATATAGACATATATTATTGTGGCGAGCATTTGGCCCAAGAATATATATACAAAAGACGTATATATATCAATCAACTGAAGACAAGAAGAAATTAAGAAGATTCTACATTATCACCGTTCCAAAATTACATTTTACAGCTCTCCTGGTGTTTCAAAAACGCGAAACAAGTTGACCGAGAACCGCACAATCACCTTGGGGAACACCAACAGAGAGGGATTGGGGAGAAGAGGCAGAGCCTGAGAAAGAAACACTGAATGAGCACTGGGAGAGGTAGGAAGAGCACCAGGAAAGAGTGGTATCTTGTAGACCGAGATTACGGAGGATGAGAAGAAGCTGTTAAAGATCAACAGTGTCAAAAGCAGCAGAGAGGTCGAGGAGAATTAGGATAGAGTAGTGGCCATGAGATTTAGCAGTGATAAGATCATTGGATACTTTGGTCACAGCTGTTTCAACAGATTGACAAGCGCAGAATCCAGATTGAAGCGGGTCAAGCAGAGAGTTGGATTTAAGGTTTTAGCTATACCTGACTAATAAGCCCAAATAAGGCCTAAACAATTTCCTATGGTTGCTGTATTTCTTTTGCAGAGGGAGCCTATAGAAAGTTTGTATCTGGACTGCCCTTGTGGCTGGGATTAGTTTGATATGTAACAAGCTAAGATCCTCTCTGTATCGGCACCTTTATTTTATATATTTTTTATTTTTGCTGTGCACATTATAAAAGACAAGCTTATAGTGTCACGACAGCACTAGGAAACTGAATAAAACATAGTGAAACATAGGCATGACATTTGAGATGACTGCACATTTTCATAAATTTTATCAGCACCTTTATGAGACCTGGCCAGGTTGTAACCAAAGGTAAAGCTATTAGATTTTTGTCTGCCCTCATATCTTCTGTTGACAAATGAAATTCACAACCAATATCCATTTTTCCTCTAACCTACCAAAGGATGACTTATCCCAAAAACACGACACTACAACAAATGAAATAGCATTTAGAATAACATTTGATCACAATTTTAATTTTATCTTTGCTTTGTTTTTTTTTATTTATTTATTCATTTATTTAAAAAGCGAAGATGTCAACAGTATAGATAAATAGGGATGGGAATGTGGAAGCAATGTGTTACAGCTCTTTGCCATGCTACTGCTTTCACTGACACTGTACTCTGCAAGTCCAAGGACTGCTCTAATATATTTGTGATGACTGGACCTAGCACCAATTATCACAAAGAGAAGGGCAAATTGTGGACTTGAGAGTACTTGCTTTTGGGGATCAGCATCAACATATCCCTACATATCAGCCCACAATACTTGCTAACATGGAGGGTACGTCATGTGCTGCTCAACAGGAGCATTGACCTTCAGGGCGCGTAGGTGGATTTTAAACCCCATTTTGTCAGTTTGCCATAATAATTAAACGAAAGACTGCCAGGATGCTATCACTTTCCAACACTTTAGTAAGTAGTTAGGGGCCTAGAGAGGCCCTCGAAATAACAAACTTTATGAAAAACAAACCAGCTTTATATGGACTAAACCAAAAGGTGTAACAATAACCGTTAAATGAATAAATGCACAGTGTAAAAATGCAGCCTGTTTTACACCAACCTCTAATTGACTTGTACATATCATCTTTGCTTGTTTTTTTTTTTGTTTTTGCTTTGTTTCTACCAAGTGGTCATAATATGTGGTAGAGCTTCTGTAAGGTCAACTGTAGTTCATATAGACACTTTGTGAATAGCAAACTAAACAGGGCATCACCCTGATTTCCCAGAAACTAAAATATATTGCATGAAGAGCTTGAGTTGCCTGGTATCCTACAGACCACACTTTTGTGTTTACAACTTAAACTCTCTTTGTTTCTATTTTTTTTCTAATTTTACTCAAAACCACCCCAGCTTCCTTTAGCATTTTTAACAAGGGCATTATCTTTGACTGACAAGGCACTAGATTTTTTTTTTTTTTCTGCATTAAGGTTTAGTGCAACATGAAAAAGTTTAATTATAAGAAGAAGCCTGATTCAAATGAAAACAATGTCATCTTTCATACAATAATTTTTGTTTATTTTTACGCGTGCATTTGTTAAAGGAACATTCTTTTAAAAAAAAATGCAATTTAGTAGCTATGACTCAAAAAAATAAATATATGCAAGTAATTTATTTTGCATGTTTTCTTCCAGGATCTATGAAATATTGATTTGCAATAGCTGCATATCTACTGCAAACCCTCCCCTTCTTCAACAGCACAGATTATTTGTGGCTCTCCAACCTCAGACTTCTCAGTAAGTCTTTGCAAGGCGGGTGCTCTGAGCAAGTTCCTTTTTCTTGAGTTAGGCTCGACTGAGCTAACCTATCAGGGAGTAATTGAATGATTGGCAGATGGGAAAGTGTAACAAAAAGACTTATTTATAAAAGTGCCTAATTTTATTGAATATTTAAAAAAAGAGTAACTTTGTAACTCTTTGTGTTATATATAAAAATATATTGCAATATATTTTCAAATAAGTAGTAATCAAAATAATTAATAGACTTCGAAAAATTAGATTTAGTTAGGCACCTCAGATGTGGCGATTAAGCTCACATGAATACCATCCATGAAAAATATTTGAAGAGACTTCAGAGAAGCCACTAAAGGTGGAAAAAAGTACTTCTTAGTGTGTTGAAATGCAAAACAATTACTGCAAGATTTCAGCTAGCAGATGGTGACACCTCAAGTATCTAAGTGAAGAACGGGGTACCCCAGCTTGGGGAGATTGAAATTCAGGAAGGCTATTTGCTCCATTAGTTGTGGGGACGTTTTGTGAGCATTCAGAATGTTGCCCATTATAGAAAACACTCACTTTGGACAATTGTCGGTGGACCATAGCTGGTGGGCAACCAGACTGAGAGCAGACCTGATACTTTTCTTTTAATCCTAGTGGCTGTTTTCCATCTTGCTTACGAGGCAGGTGAACAAGCAGATGACCTGTTCCAAACTGGTATTTCGGTGGCTCAAAGTTGCTCTTATATCCCTAAATGGTGTAAGGATTACACCTAGTGTCCCTATTATTGTCCAATCATCATGCCCCAGTGGGGACTCAACACCAATGCACTGGTCAAAGATGGAGTATGGATTACCACTTATTTTACTGAATTCTTTCCATCATGAATGAAGGGGAGCACACCTTCTGAAATCCTGTCACAGCTGGCGTGTAGGCCTGCCTGCCATGCTGATAAGGCTGCAACTCCTCCACTGCCACAACCATAACTAGGCATCATAAGCAGCGACCAGTGTAAAGGCATGCTGTCCACTAGGAACATTCCATAACCTGTGATAACCAACAAACTTAGCCAATTATTCTTCCTCAATAGTAGCATGCAATAAAAGTACAATTATTGGACTAGGATCCTGCAAAAGATAAATAGCAAGGGAATTAAATATTGCAGAGCAAGGTCCCATATCAGTTGTTCTAAATGGCTCCCCTTCTATCATGGAAAAAGAAGCTCCCCTACAACGCTCAGCTGGCCAATCAGGAGGGTGATTTTGTTAGCCTGGCCTTTTGACATTGCTCTGGAATGAAATGCAACAAAATTTAAGAGTGAACTGGTGGATATGTATCTGGCATGATGAAGACTGGGAGTCCCACTGTCCCTGTCGCCTAATGACACTGTGTTAAATATCTCTCCTGATCTGCCTAAGGGTGATAGAGTTACTACTTGTGGAAGGTCTCTGCGCTGAATCAGATACAGTACCAGTGGAATTATTCCTGTCCAAGCACCTCCCTTTTCTGCTTCTTATAGAAAATTGTGGGCTGCGACTTACCCTCTCCCGACTCTCCTCTTGAAATTCATCTGGCTCATAGGCAGGTAATTCCTGGGATAGAATTAAATAAACATCTGCAGTGGTAGGGGCATGAGTGATATCATCAACACCACTACTACCAAGACCAGATATGGTATTCACTACTTTATGCAAAGAAACATACTTTAATGAACAGGTAAAACATGGTTCCAGTTCCATTAGACTCTGCTGAACTCTCCCTTAGTTTCTTCTTGAGAGGGGCTGTATGAACAAGGAGGTAACACTTAACAGCAAAAAGTCCACTGGTTTCACCTATCACATGTTTTGATGATAAAACAGAAAAGGTATAATGCTTGAAAAAGCTGTGAAGCTGTGGTAGAAGGACCTAAATTCTGCTGCCTAGCTAACTCTGCTGCTGCAACTACAGATGTGTCTGTGACTTTAAATCTTGAGTCTCCATTTGCAGCATAAAAGTATTAAATTATTTGAATAGCTTATCCAAAAATATTAAATCAAGACCAATGTCCGTAGCCGTAGTGAAAAAAATTTAAGAGGCTGCTCCAGTAGACCAAAAATTTGAAAAAAAAAAGAAAAACGTTAAACACAATTATGAATAATTGCAAACATCTCTAATAAAGTACAAAAAACTTACATTGGCCCCACACAATCTATCCAAAGCATTTTGTGCTGCATGTCACTTAATCTTAGTCATGAAGAGACAAAGATACTGATG